TGCGCTTTACACAATTGATGTGTGTATGGATTGGGATAACAGTTGTATGAGCCCCTAATAAAATGTTAAAAAAAAAAAAAAAAGATATCACTCACAAATATGGTGCTCCTTAAAAAGCCATCTGTGAGACCCACAGGTCAACATTTACAAAGATGAAAGGCAGAGAACAAGGAGAAGAGGCCACTTCTGGAAATCAAACACCCAGAACCACCACCGAAGTGTTGCCACACGGTGAAAAAGTGTGATGAATGTCATTGCACGATCAATAGAGAAGTTGTCAAACAGAAAACTAATGTACTGTGTCGACTTTTAGCAAAAATACTATTTTATGTATATACTTTTTTTTTAATATCCCCGGCTCTGTGGATTAAGAAGCCAATGTCCGAATTCTACCCCTGTTGAAGATGCAATCACAACTTTACATATACTTGCCATAAAGTTGCAAGGTCCCTATCCCTAGACCCAGTAAGAGATAGCCTATCCTCAAACTTTTCTGGTTTTTTTTTTTTCCTTACATTAAAATTTAAAGAGAAAAGGAAATCCCAATTTTAACAATTAAATACATAATTACTGAAAATGTTAAATGCTCTTTTGTGTACTACTTAAAACCCTCTCTCACATATACCCCTTTGTTGTGAACACTGACCTAGGGCATGGCCCGGTCACTTCCCTTTCAGCACCCAGTGGTAACTATGTATCTAGGCGGCTGACTTCCCTACTGGGAGGCGAGGAGTGGGAGTCTCACGGTCCCAAGCACTGCCCAGGACCACAAGTTGCTAATAAAGACGTAGGCGGTTTCTTCATCCCTTCCAGCTCAGGTCGTGTGTAAGTCCAAGGGTGCTGGCTGGATGACGTTGAGCAAACCTTTCACCTTTTGTAGCCTCAATTTTTCTCCATTACAAAGTAGGAACGACCATACCGGCCTCGCTGTATTGGATGTAGTCAGAGGACGGGTGCGAACATAGTACACAGCGCTATAAAATCGAAATGCACTGCCGCCGAGTCGATTCCAACGCACCGTGACCCTAGAGAGAGGAACTCATTCACTCATCCATTCAATAGGCAATTATTAAACGCCTAATACAGCGCGGGGAGTCCCGGTGGTGCAGTGCTTCATCCCGAAGGGGTAACTCAAAGGTCAGTGGTTCAGCTCCGCACAAAGATCTGAAAACCCTCTGGAGCCGCTCAACTCTGTGCTAGAGGATCTCTAGGCGTCCCAAGGGACTCCATAGCAACAGGTGTGTTTTCTCTGACCATGAACCTCGGCGGCTCCGGCAGTTCCCGTCCCGGTCCCGGCGGGGAGGGCGGAACTCCGGGCGCTGACCTTCCGCAAGATGGCGCTGGCGGCTTCCGGGGCTAGTGCGGCGGCGCGGACGCCGCATGCCCTCTGACCTGCTGG